TGTGCAGGAAGTATAGTTATTTGCCGGTTGCGCACGGAAAGATGGTATTTGTCTCCCATCTTTGGACCAATTTGAGGGTATTGCGCCTGTAGCTGTTTAAAGGTTTCGAGAAGATTTGCAGCTATGGTTATGGATTAGGTTGTAGACTTGCTCGCTGAGCCAATAAGTTTAATTACTGACGTTTTGTCACCCTGCTAGGTAACATCATCAGTGTTTCCTCTGGTGAAGCGTTGGTGTTCTGTCCCGCTTGTTATTTATATGCCTTTGTTTGCTGGGGTGTTTGGCATTACTTCCGGTTCGGTTTTTCACTGATTTGTGTATCGGGTCCAATTCAATGTGTTTGTTGATGGAGTTCCGGTTGGAATGCCAGGCCTCCAGGAATTCCCTGGCATGTCTCTGTTTGTTTGGCTTGTTCTGTTATGGATGTGTTGTCCCAGTCGAATTTGTGTCCTTTGTGTGTATTGAGACATGTAATATACGAAATACCATGCAAGGACTGTGAGAAATATTACATAGGCCAAACTGGAAGAAAACTGACAAGAAAGGATACACAAAGACCAACTAGCCACCAAGAGACACGACCAATTCTCACTGGTCTCAGTACACACGGACAAAGAAGGACACGAATTCGACTGGGACAACACATCCACAATAACACAAGCCAAACAGAGACATGCCAGGGAATTCCTGGAGGCCTGGCATTCCAACCGGAACTCCATCAACAAACACATTGAACTGGACCTGATACACAAATCACTGAAAAACAGAACTGGAAGTAATGCCAAACACCCCAGCAAACCGAAGCATATAAACAACAAGTGGGACAGAACTTCAACGCTTTACCGGAGACGCACTGACAATGTTACCTAGCAGGGTGATGAAACGTCTGCAATCAAACACACCAGCTTGGCAAGCAAGTCTACAACTGCATCCACAACCCGAGCTACAAATCTTCTCAAAAACTTTAAACTAAATTCAGACACACGCTTGCCTCATAATATTTGAAATAAAATAAATGAATTAATGGCACACATAGAGATTAGTGCACATGATCTTTCAGCATTTGAAGAGACATGGTTGCAAGGCAATTAAAGCTATGAGCTAAATATTCAGAGGTATATGACCTTTGATAAGGTAAACAGGAAAGGTAGGGTGGTGGAGGTATCTTTTTTGGTAAGGAACAGAAGGAGTGCAACAGCAAGAAATCATCTTGGATTGAATGATGTAGAACCCTTATGAATAGATTTAAGAAATAACAATGGAAAGGGAGACTGGTGGGAGCTGCTTGTCAGCCTCCTAACGAGTAGCTATATTGTGAAACAGAATAAATCAGGAGATAATGAGGGTGTGTAAAAAGACAGTAGTTTATTCATAGGTGATTTTAATCTTTTTGTAGTTTGGGAAAATTGAATTGGTGGAGACAGCTACGAGGAAGACTTCATAAGAGCATATTTAGGACAGTTTCCTGAAACAATATGTTGTGGATCCAATCAAGGTTCAGGAGATTTTGGATCTGGTAATATCCATTGAGGCAGGTTTGATAGATGGTCTCGGAGTAGATTGTTCAAACAAGTTTGGAAGGATAATCCCAGCAATTGCAGACCAATCTGTTTAACTTCAGTGGTGGGGAAGCTTCTAGAAACAGTTATTTAGGATAGAACTAGTAGTCACTTTGAAAAATGTAGGTTGATTAGGAAGAGTCATCACAGATTTCTAAAGTTAATCATGTTTAACTAACTTATTAGAATTATTTGAATAAATAACAGGCTAACTGAGCGTTAAGTTGTTGATGTTGTATACATGGATTTCCTGAAGCCATTTGATACACAAGCTACTTGTGAGGAAAATTATAGATCATTGTATAAAAGAGACAGGAGCAATATGGATACAAAATAGGCTAAGTGGTAGGAAACAGAGTAAAGGTCAATGGATATTTTTTGTGCGAGAAGAAAGTTTGTTATGCAGTTCCTCAGCAGTTGTTATTGGGACCTATGCTTTTCCTGATAATGTATTAATGATCTGGATTCTGGTGTGCTTGGGACAATTTCAAATTGGAAGAATTGTAAACTGTTAGGAGGACAGTGGAACTGTCAAAGAATTGGGCTGATGGGTGGCAGATAAGGTTCAATGCAAAGAAGAACGTTGAAAGATAATACAAAGTAGGGGCTACAATTCTATATGGTTGTAGGAGCAGAGTGACCTGGGAGTATATGTGTACAGATCGTTGAAGGTGGCAAGACGGGTGGAAAGAGGAGTTAATAAAAAGCAATGTGTCCTCTGCTTTATGAATAGGGACGTACAGGACTAGAGCATGAGGCAGTGTTGAACTTAAGACACTTGTTCGACCTCAACTGGAGTATTGTGCAGAGTTGTGGGCAGCATTTTTCTTGTTGGAGAGAAGAAGGCGGAGGGGAGATTTGGTAGAGGTTATTAAAATCATGAGCTGGCTGAAAAGAATAGATTGAGAGAAGCTATTCCTGCTCGAAAAAGCAACAAGAATGAGAGGGCAGAAATATGTTAAAGAAGCAAAGGTCACATGAGAAAGTTAGGATATGGAATGCATTGCCTAGAAATGTGGTGGAGGCAGGTTGAGTTGAGGCATTTTAGAAAGCACTTGATGATTATTTAGATAGAAATAATGTGCAAGGGTGTAAGGAGAAAACAGAAGATTGGTGCTAGGTAATGATACTTGTTTGAAGATCGGTGCAGACATGATGGCTGAGTGGCTTCCTTTTATGCTAAAATATTCAGTGATTTTGAGATTCTGTGATTGAATGATCCCCTAGGAATCCATTACCACAACATGGTAGAATTTAGCATTCAGTTTGAGAATGAAATGTTTAGGTCACAACAATTGTGCTGAACTTAAATAAGGGGAATTATAAAGGAATGAGACAAAGATGGCAGGGAAGCACATTTTGAAGAAAAAATGGTTGATGAACAGTGGCAGATGTTTAAGAAAATAGTTTGTGACTCACAGTAAAGATATATCCCAGTGAGGAAGAAGGATTCTAGGAAGGAGATAAATAGCTATAGTTAACCAAGGAAGTTAAGAATTCCTTTTGAATGGAAAGAAAAAGCATAGAATGTGGCAAAGATCAGTGGTAAACCAGAGAATTGGAAAAGTTTTAAAGGAAGAACAGAAGATGAGTATAAAAATGTGAGGAGGAAGAAAACAAACTGTGGTTAAACTAGCAACCAGTATTAAAGTAAGAGCTTCTCCAAATATATAAAAAGGAAGAGAGAGATCAAAGTCAGCATTGATCCCTTAGTTGATGAGGCTAGGGAAATAATAATGGGGAACCAGGAAAATGGCAGAGTTGAATAAGTACTTTCCATCACTTTTCATAATAGAAGACGTGAATCACATTGCACAAATACTAATCCAAAAGGCAAAGACGGGGCAGACAAAGTACAATAGCTATTATTAGAGAAACAGTACTAAGGAAACTAATGGGGCTAAAGGCTAATATGTCCCCTGGACCCGATGGGGTTCATCCTAGGAAGTAGCTACAGGGAGTGTGGGTGCATTGGTAGCAATCTTCCAAGAATCCTTAGATTCTGGAATTTTTCAAGTTAGGAAACAACCAGTGTGACACCTTTCACTGTGGTACCTTTAACATGCCCTTCTTTTTCCTCAACCAAGGATTCTCCACCACCGTTATGGTTAACAGGGCCATTAGCTGCGACTGACACTTTGCCTGCACTTCTGCTGTCAGCTCTTCCCCTGCCTTCCAGAGCAACAGCAGAGTTCCCCTTCATTCCAAACCACCTGTCTTCACATTAAAAGAATCATCCCCTGCCATTTTTGCCATCTCCAGCGGGATAGCATCATGAAATACTGCTTCCTCTCCTCACCACTGTCAACATTCCACAGGGACCATTACCTCTGCAAAACCCTGGTCCACTCCTTCATCACCCTTAACACTTCTCAATTTTCTGACATGTTCAATTCCAGAAGGTGTCACATTTACCTATTCATCACCACCTTTCTCACTCTCCTATGCTACAAACACACCTTCCAGGTGAAGCAACATTTTTACTTGTACTTGTTTCAATTGGATCTAGTGTATTCGCTGTTCACAATGTGGATCCTGGGCCTCCTCCAGTGTCACAACGACGCCACCCGAAAACTGGAGGAGCAGCACCTCATATTCCACCTTGGTAGCCTACAACCCAATGGTCTCAATGTGAACTTTACTAGCTTCAAAATCTTCCCACGCCCGGCCTCATCCCGCGACCAACCCTCCCTCTCATCCCCGCCTCCTTGACCTGTACGTCTTCTCTCCCACCTATCCACTCCTCCCACCTCACTGACCAATCCCCACCACTACCTACCTGCACTCACCTATCACCATCCCACCTACCTTCCCCAGCCTGACCACCCCCTCTCTATTTATTTCAGAGCCCCCTTTCCCCTCCCCCATTTCTGAAGAAGGGTCCTGACCCGAAACGTCAACTTTCCTGCTCCTCTGATGCTGCCTCGCCTACTGTGTTCCCCCAGCTGCACACTGTGTTAACTTTTGATGGGTGTCTTGAGAATGAGACTGTGTGTTTCGGGCTGAGACAACTAAGGGCACAGTCAATAAAGGCGATACAATTGAAAGTTGTGATGCTTAGAAGGCAGCATTATGTGACTGCATATTTTTCTGAGGGTTGTGGAGCAAGAGGAAATTACAGAGATAGAATAGTGCAAGGCAAAGGAGGGACTTGAAAACAAGTTTTAGTTGAAGACAAAAGGGTATTGCTTGATTTAGAGCTGATGTAGATCAGCAATCTGAGCAGTGATGTGTAAAACGGGCTTGATGCATGGATCAACATGAGCTGCAGAATTTTGAATAAAATCAGGTTATGAAACATGGAATGTTGGAGGCCACTCTATGAAGGCAGTCAAGAGTATATTGAGGTTTTGAGTGTGCAAAGAAACAACCATATTTGGCACTGGAAAGCCTGGTTAACACTGATTAATCTTATAATAAGTTCAACAATTTGTTTTCTAGGAGCTGTCAAGTTGTGGCTGGAATAAAAAGGAAAAGCACAGTTCATCACCAAATGTCGTAGCCTTCACTAGGAGGTTTAATCATGTGAGTATTAATTGGGACTTCAGTCATGGCATTGAAAGGTGAAGTGTTTGTAAAATAGATTGCATTTGATAACCCAGTAAAAACAAATCGATTGAACTGAAAACTTGGCATGGGGTCTTGTGATTGATTTAAAAATTTATGGTCCGTGTTGGCAGCTCTCTGAGACCCAAATAACTTCTCTTCCCCTAATATGCCAGTCAACTGCACATTTTGATAGCACAAAGATGCTTTATCTGTGAAGTATACTTGATGATCCTTTGATAGTTTATTGTAAATCATTAAACCATATCAGCTAAATAAAAACCTGAAGAACTGCGGATGCTGTAAATCAGGAACAAAAACAGAAGTCACTGGAAAAGCTCAGCAGGTCTGGCAGCATCTGTGAAGAAAATATCAGAGTTAACGTTGTGGGTCCAGTAACCCTTCCTCAGAACTCTTAAGCAGTTAAGCTTCACAGGAGGCTCCACAGCACTGAGGATGTCACCTACTAAGGGGACGAAACGTCTGCTATCAAACCTCCCAACTTGGCGAACACACTAACATCTACAGCTAGACTATTAATCCTGAGACCCAGATAATATTCTGGGCACTCATGTTTGAATCATGCTATGGTAGAATTTGAATTCAATAACAAAATAATCTGGAATTAAGAGTTGAATGATTACCATGAAACCATTGTCAGTTGTTCAAAAAAAAAACCCCACCTGGTTCACTAATTTCCTTTAGAGGATTGAATCTGCCAGCCCAGGTTTACATGCGACTCCAGACCCACAGCAATGTGGCTGACTCTTAACTCTCCTCTGGGCAGTTAGGGATGGTTGGCAACAAATGCTGGCCTAGTCAGCAACAACCACATTCTGTAATTAAGAAAAAAAGTCACTTTCTTGCTCAATCACTTAATCATCTATATTTCTTTGCAGATTCCTTACATCCTTCTTACAGCTTACTTTCCCACAATGTTTTGTATCAACATGCTCGCATATTGTTGCGTACGTATATTGCGCAAGTTATGTTGGGCTGTCATAATTGTGGCCCTTCCTACAGATTTCTGAGGCACTTTGAAAAAGAAGAGGCGAAAAGTACCGTTAGCATGGATTTAAAACAAAATTCACCTCCGGAAAGAGGTGAACAGTGTACAAGAAGCTTGCCACCTGTTCACACTCAAGGAACACTGATAGTAACATGGGAGACAGTGTTTTGAGCTAGGGTTGTAGATGGTGGTGTGGGGAAGAGTGGGGTGTGAAGGCATCTTCAGGATTTCTTTGCTTTAAAGGGGTACAAACAAGGTATTGCTATACTTTTTGTGGTAAAAATTGTGCTACGCAGGCCCTTTCTCAATTTTGAAAAAAGGTATAAAATGGTAGGAAATGTTGGTGCTGTAGGACCATAGTATGAAAATACAGAGAACTGTATTTGATTTAATTTTATTCAATTTAATTGATGCAATCAGAGACATATTGGTCTGTGTTTTAAGATGTGAAGCAATCAGAAGAGACCACTGATAGAAAGTAACCTAGACTTAAAGCACTGGACATAACAGTGACCAAGGAAGCTCAGCAGTTAAGCTTCAGCATGAGAGTTCACAAAATAGCGGCTGAGAGATAAGCATCAATGTAGACTCTAAACTGTCATCAGTGTGGAAAAGCAGGTGACTCGGCTAGTGTAAAGAAGCTGCACACAGGAAGTGTGGCACAAAAGGGCACGTTGAATGAGACTGACAGTATAGATTGGCAAGCATAGTGTTGATATCTTAATAGGTTGATTTAGAACATAGATGAGAGAATTTAAGTTGACTTCGGGCTTTCGGAGGGTAGAATGTGGGAGATCAGCCAGGAATGCATTGGAATTGTAAAATCTACAGCGAGGAATGGCTTGATTGAGTTTTAGTAATGATGAATTGAGATGTGATGGTTAGAGAGGAGGAGCTAAATAATCTCAATAATCATATATATGAAATTGGAAGCTCATCTGTGGAGATAAATGTGACTTGACATTTGTGAGCAGAAAAGCTTACTATTGCCAGGGAGAGGCTTGGAGTTGGTAGCTAGGAAACAGAGTTTGGGTAGTGATCAAAATCAAGGACCTAAATCTTCCTCGTATTTAATTAGAGGAATTTTCTGCTCATCAGTACTTAATGTCAGGTAAGTAATCTGATAATTTTGCAACAATCTCAAGGGAGATTGTGGTGAGGTAGAGCTGAGTAGAACAGTATCCAGAGAATCAGTAACAGTATGAAGAATAACAGTGCTTTTGGTGGATTGTAGTGTTATCATCTGAAATAACCGCACAGAGAACCCCCCCCAACCCCCGACTCTGCATCAGGGAATGTCAGGTTGAACCTAGTGTGGAATCTTCTTCCCATCAGCAACTGGAGCTATGCCTTTAGTTGTGTGAGGGGCGGTCCTACAATTTACAGGGACCTATTGAGTGAAGCTGCAGGCTGTTTCTTTAAGTCTGCCTTCTACGGTTAGACTGCACTTTCCACCAGACTTTTGGGCCATGAATTGTATGGACCTGTCCGAACATGCTGAATGCCATTTGACTTTAGGAAATGCTTGAAATCCCTCCTGGTAAATGATGCCCCATTGTCCGTGATCAATACTTCTGGGAGTCCGTGTAATGCAAACGACGCTTGCGGCTTTTCAGTCGTCAGCTCCAACAACTTTGAACAGGCATCCACAATGACCAGGAACGTTGAGCCCAGGAAAGGACTGACATTGTCAACATGTAACAGAGTCCAAGGTTTACCTTGATATTGCCTTGAATGTGGGTGAGCCGGTGGTAATTTTTGTCCTTGTTGGCAATTTTTGTTCTTGTTGGCACTTTGGGCAGTGCCCCACCAACACAACAATGTCGGCATCCAATCTTGGCCACCAGACAACTTCTTGCCAATATCTCCATTTTGGAAACCCCCCTGATGACTCTGGTGGAGTTCAGTTAGTATCTGGTGGTAATCTTTACTCTGTACAATCGCTCTTCCTCCCCATAATAATGTGCCAACCTCTACAGTGATCTCGTCTCCCAGTCCAGAAAGGTTTCAACCCTGATTGTGACGGCCCTTCTGTTTTCCCCCATTACCTCGAGCTGGTTTAATTCTACCAGGACAGGATCTTTTTGTGTCCACACTTGGATATTGTCAGTGGTGACTGGAACAGTGTCCAGAAAGTTTAAAACCAGAACGGACTCTTCCAGGAGAGGCACCACCACTGGAATATCCTCCTGTGTGAGGTGGCTCAAGGCATCCACATTAGCTACTTGGCCCCCTGGACAGTGTTCTAACTTGAATTCACTGAGAATAAGGGCCCAAAGCTGAATTTGACCAGAAACTATGGTTGGCACCACCTTGTCTTTAAGTAGTCATAGCAGGGGTTTGTGGTCCGTAACTATGACACATTCGTGTCTGTAAAGGTATTTGTGGAACTTTCTCACACCAAAGATGACTGCCGAACCTTCCTTCTATATCTGGGCATATTTGTATTCGGCATCAGCCAATGTCCGGGAAGCGTACGCTGTTGGGCATTCCTCTCCGTTGGGCCACCAGTGATCTAGCACTTTACCAATAACATATCGGAAGGTATTGCATGTCAGCACCATGACCTTGCTTTGGATCATAGTGGGCCAACACTGTAGATGGCGATAGCTGCTTTTTCACTTCACCAAAGCCTACTTCTTGGCTATGTGACCATTTCCAAGGCTGACCCTTTCTCAATAGCAGGTGTAAGGGTGACAAGATGGAGGCTAGGTTACGTATGAACTTTCCATAACAAATCACTAATGCAAAGAAAGACTTAAGCTCCAGTACAGATGTGGGAACCGGGGCACCTTTGATCACTCACTTTAGCTTCCAACGGGTGTGATGTGTTTAAAGTTTGAGAAGATTTGTAGCTCGGGTTGTGGATGAGATTGCAGACTTGCTCGCCGAGCTGGCGTGTTTGATTGCAGACGTTTCGTCACCCTGCAAAGTAACATCGTCAGTGCGTCTCTGGTGAAGCATTGGTGTTCCATCCCACTTGTTAATTATTTAGCTTGGTTTGCTGGGGTGGTTGGTGTTACTTCCGGTTTTGTTCTTCAGTGGTTTGTGTATTGGGTCCGGTTCAGTGTGTTTGTTGATGGAGTTCCAGTTGGAATTCCAGGCCTCCAGGAATTCCCTGGCATGTCTCTGTTTGGTTTGTGCTATTATGGATGTGTTGTCCCAGTTGAATTTGTGACCTTCTTTATCCATGTGTATTGAGACCAGTGAGAGTTGGTTGTGTCTCCTGGTGTGATGTGGTTTAGTTGACTCTGTAACCCAAGTAGGTCACTTGGGGCACCTGGAACACACATTTTTCCCTTCTAAGGCACATATCTGCCTGGGAGAAACATTTAAGCATTATGCCCGAGTGCTCCTTATTGGTCTTCCTGATTAACAGCGTGCCATCAGATAGATGGCAAGCTGGGGTAGCCCATTTAAAATGTTGTCCATCGTCCACTGGAAAAGGGTGCAGGCTCGTGATATTCCAGATGATAACCTTGTATACAGGGGACTCTCTGAATCCCCTGTTTATATCTGTCAACTAGGGTTCCCTGATTGGCCCAGGTTAACAACTCCAATCAAGGATCTCATAGTCAATAAAATCGACCTGATTCCAATCACTACATCTCCTTGTGATATAAAAGCAAAGTAAAGTTGATGTTGGATATCTGAAATAAAAAACAGAAAATGCTGAAAGCATTTATCAAGTCTAGCAGCATCTATGGAGACAAAATCAAAGTTAATGTTCAGGGACATGACCTTTCATCAAGTTGCTTTCAAAATTTCTTTCACATTTACTCTCATTCTATTTTTTTCCCCTTCTTATCAATTTCTCAGTCATCCATTGCTGATTGATAAAGTTCTCCCAATCTTAAGACTTCGTATTTTTTGACAACAATGACAAATGTACTATAAAATCTTGAAGTAATATTTTTTCTCTATGTCCAAAGTCTTTTTAATCAGACTGTCTGAAAGCCCATATTCCCAT